AGCCGCCTCCTGCCCCCACCCTTGGACCGCCCCCGCCGGCCGAGCTCCCCGCCCTCGGGACGCGCTCGCTCTCAGCCTCCGAGGACCCTGCGCTCCGGTGCTCAGCGGCCGCCGTCGATCGAGGCTCCCAGCACCCTGGCCCGGGACGCCCTCGTTGGAAGCCCAGGGCCGCGTCCGTCGGGGGAGACGAGAAGAAAGCAGCTGTCGGGAACGCGGACTCAAGCAGCCCTAGCTCCAGCCGGGAGGCATTTCTGCCGAAACTCGGGGGCACAGATCCAGGCCCGGGCCCAGGGTGGCGGCAGGCGACCCCAGGCAAAGGGTAGCTGGACTCGGCGCGGCAGGCGTAGAGGCCACCGGCAGGGCCGCGCCTTCGCAGGCTTCAGAGGACCCTCCCTGGTCGGCGCTCTCCCTGGAGTAACGGTGGCAATGGCTGTTGCCCCGGGCGTCCCCCAGAGCTGGTAACGGGAGAGAGTGCCCTGGGGTCCTGGGGCAGCTCCAAGGAGAGAGATTCACGGCCCTTAGCTGCGTCCCAGTGGGGTAAGGACGACTAAAGTTGCTTCGGACTCTTAGCTGCTCCAGCCCGTTTCATTTGTGGGGCCCCCGGACTCAGCCACTTCCCTAGGGCCGCCGGCAGAAAGCTCTTTGGGCCGGAATCAAGGGAAGGCCTGGGTCCTGTGGCGCCAGACAGAAAATGTCCAGTCTACTCCCACCCAATGGGAACTGCTTCATGTCCTCTATCCCGGAGTCTTGGGGGTCGCAGCTGCGCGCAGCCCCGCTGTCCCGTTTTGCATGTGTTTTCTATTGAAGCTGCAACGCTACCCGGTGTGGCCTCGGCTCTGTGCAGCTCCACTCGCCTGCGGGGCAAGGGGGCATTTTCTTGATTGACGCCCTCCTGCGGTCGTCACACCTCGCGGTGAGCGGTTTCAGCAGAGGTCCTCTATTAATCGTGGAAATGAAAAGATTTCCCAGCTTTTCCTATTGAGATTTTTCGTTTACATCCTGGAACTATTTTTTTGACTGTAGGGACCGCATTAGGAAGAAGAGCGGACTCGAAGCCAGATGGCCTGAATTCGAGTTTCACTCCGCACATTTTTGTTGAGCAATTACTGTGTGCCATCAGTGAACAAGACAGATGTAGTTCCTGTCCTCACCGAGGCAGAAATAAATTTTAATACAGTGACTTACGTAGGTGCTAGGAAGGAGGAGCACATAATGATCTGAAACCTTATAACAAGAGGCTGTGTTGAGGGGAACAGATTCCCCAGGGAAGTGATGTTTGGAAAATGAGTAGTTGTCAAAGGACCTAGAGAAGAAAGAATATTCCAAATCCAGGGAATAGCATATGAATGTTGCCGGTGCAACTTAGTCAAGTCACCTCCCTGAGCTTTTCTCACCTGAAACATTTAAGACTTAGCCTAAAGGTTCCTAATCCTTTTAGGGTAGAGTCATACGTGTCTTCCAGAATCTGAGGACAAACAAGGGTTATAAGTACAAACAGCAAGTGTAATATGCTATCATTGGAGTTAAAAACGTTGAGAGAGAGTATGAATATCTGTGGCTTTGCTCTATAATATAAACTATCTCTGGAAGGATATACAGAAAACTGATAACATTTGCTGTCTAGGAAGAGAGGTGGAGTTGGAGGGAGAATGTACTGTAGTCTTTGAATATTTGGAGAATTGAACCGTGTGGATGTGTGACCTATTTATAGTCAAAGTAGGTTCTTGAAGAAGTGGCTGATTCTAGGTCTGGGGCAGAAAAAGTACAAGGTGGGCTAGAGGCATCTTGTACCAGAAACCATGGAAGGAAAACAGAACTGCCTTGAAGGGTCTTCCATTGGTCAAATTTGAGGTGATAAGCATCAAAAACACATTATGGATTATAGATTATTGGCTATAACAGTCCATAGAACCTCTCTATCTATGGTGATACTCAGAGGAGAAAGATGGTGGATGGTAAAGCTGGGAGAATGCCAGCGAACAAAAGTAGAAAGATTGATAAAATTGATGACTCATTCAAGAATCATCATTGAACACCAAAACCATTGAGTGAAACATTGTTGAGGATGAGTATTTTCACAAAGTTTCATTAGTATCACCCCAATTGATTGAATTCTGGATTTTTTAAAAAAGCCTACAAAATACATTTGGGGAGATAATAGGCAAAAACTTAATATGAATTTATGTTAGATGATGTTATTAAATTATTGTTCATTGTATTAGTGATATTGGCATTATGAGTAAACATTTTTATTCTTAAGAGGTGCAGGAAAACGTATTTAGGGATAAAGGGCCATGATATCTGCAACTTACTTTCAAATTTATATGCACATACGCACATATGTACATATGCACACAGTCAATATGTTATAAAGAGATATATACGCACATATGTTATATACACACAGTCAATATGTTATAAAGAGATATATACCAAGTTAGAAAATTATTCATTGGTGAATTTAAATGAAGAGTATACAGATGTTTATTGTGCTAGTTTCAGTTGCTCTGTAGGTTGAATGTTTTTTAATATAAAGACAAAAATAAGTATGATTTTATATGTTTTAAAATGAAAGCACTGCCTCATCTTTTTTTAAGTAAAAATTATTTGAATTTTTTTAAGTCCACATTCAAGTTCAGGTGATGCATTGTCTCTGGGAACCATCCATGGAGTGCTGTTTGTGAATCATTGGTCCCTCTGTCGTCTGTTCTCATGTTGTGCCTACTCCACCAATCATAATTCTCATCACGTGGCCTAATGGAGAATTCAGGCAGGTACTGGGAGACTATGAAAATAAAATGTACTCTTCTGTATACCAAAGACAGACTAGGATTTGGGGACAAAAAAAGGACAGTTATTGTTATCTGAAGCTTAAAGGTGCCTTCAAAAGTTATGTTTGGGTCTTCAATGAGTTGGACCTCACTGAAGTAAACATATAACTGTGATTATTATTTTCTCACAAAATGTTTCTCTCTCAGCTTTTTTTTTTCTCCCCCTTTCACCTAGCGAGTAATCGAGATGATCACAATTCATTTAATGCCTTTACTAGCCACCCTCATTCTCCATCTTCAAAAATGGTATGGGTTTATAGTTTATTCTGTGCATGACTCAGCCAACAAAAAGATGTAAGTCTACAAAGCTTTCAAAAATAAATATTAAATGCTAAGGAAATAATCACTAACGTAGAAAAAGGAAGCATCATCCCTTTCTTTGATTTAGCCTGTTTAATGCTGTGAGGTGAATGGAGATCTTAAAAGGCACTGGTATAACATTCCAACTCAGCTACATAATCCTCGCCAGCAAATTGAGGCACTTAATTCTTTTAAGCTGTATAACACTGCCTCTTCTAAATCCAATCGTCAGATCCATGTTCATTTTGCTATAGTTAAAAAAAAATTACAACCACATTTGTGAATGTCACATTTATTGAACTACATAATTTTTAATATCACTTGTGTAGGTTTTATAGTTTGTTTTATTGTTTTAAAAGTCATTTGGGGCTCTAAAGGAACAAGATTTTTCCAAAGTTGTCCTTATAATTTTTTTCACACAGTCAGAACTAATAAAACAAAACTGTTGTAGCTATTTAATTCAAAATCTCTTGGAGTTTCAATATTTTTTCTCTGCTGGATACTAAAACCAATAAAGCTACATGAGATTTTAATTATATTCTGAATTAAACAAGACTCTCTCCAAAAATTTGGCACCATTTATTTTAGTCACTGCTATTGTGCAAGAGACCAAACTTTGTAAGAAGAGAAGGCGGTTCTCACCTCTAATTTATCTAGTAGGAACTTCAGTAAATTTTTTGCAACTTATTTTCAATAATTAACTATGCATAGAGGAAAAACTTCAAATTAGCAATAGTTTGAAAGCATCAATGGATTGTATTATAACAGTTCGGTTCTATTTTTACTTACATTAAAAGTTTTATTATCTGTTGAAATGACAATCATTTAAGCACATATCAAATCATTGTAATGTATTTTATTTAAAATTTGACAAAATCTAATTATTTAGGGTTTTAGGGTTTTACTAACTTACAAAATGCTGATAGGATCAAATAGAAATGTCTCGTCCATGTCATGAACGGAATGAGAGCTCTGGAACACATGGGCAGTAGTCACCATGACATGACTTCAGTGATATCCACATTTTACATACTACAGTGTACCTTTACATAGCACCATACGGTGAGTGAATTTTACTGACCCTGGAACTTTCGATGGAGCATATATTTATTTGCTCAATTACAAAAATGATGAAGAATTCGAGAAGACAGAGAACCTAATTTTTTAAATGAGCAAAAGATCTGAATAGACATTTCTCCAAAGAAGATACACAATGGCCAATAAGTACATGAAAAAATGTTCAGCATCATTAGTCATCAGGGAAATGCAAATCAAAACCACAGTAAGGTACCATTTCATACCCACTAGGATGGCTATACTAGTTTTTAAAAAAATGTTGGTAAGAATGTGGAGATTTAGAACTCTCATACATTGCTAGGACGATTTAAAATGAAGCAACTGCTTTGGAAAACAATCTGGCAGTTCCTGAAAGGGTTAAACACAGAATTACTACAGGACCCAGTAATTCCACTCCTGGAGATTAGATAGATAGATAGATGATAGATAGATAGATAAATAGATAGATAGAAAGAATCTCCAAGAGATGAAAATGTATGTCCACATAAAACTTGTACACAAATGTTCATGGCAGAATTATAATAACTAAGAAGTGGAAATAACCCAAATGTCCATCAATTGATAAATGGGTAAATAAAATATGGTACATCCAAGCAATGGAATATTATTTTGTAATAAGAAGGAATGAAGTGTCAATACATGCTACGACATGAGTGAACTTTGAAAACATTTTGCTAAGTGAATGAAGGCAGACACAATAGACCACATATTAGATTATTGCATTTATATGAAATTTCCTGAATAGATGAATCTATAGAAACAGAAAGTAAATTAGTGGTTGCCTAGAGATAAGGAAGTTGGGGATAAATGGAGAGTGACTGCTAGTGGGTAGAGTTTCTTTTTAAGGTAATAAATATGTTCTAAAAGTCATCGTGGTGATGGTTACACAACTTTGTCTTTATCTTGGTGGGGGAAACACTTTGAGTCGGTGAATTATATCTCAATAAAGTTGTTAGGTAATTTTTTAAATGATGAAAGAATGTCACATGAAAGCCAAGAATGTACCTTATAACAGTTTTAACAAGAGATTATAATGTCAGAAGTGATATTTTGACATATAATCCAAATTTGTGGATATGCAGCCAAACTCCTAGGTAACGACCCTTAAGAAAGTATCAGAAATGATGAACCAGGACTCAAGCTCTCTGGGCCATGGGTGCCTTCTACTCAGTACACCAACCCACTCCCTTGGATCCTTGCTCTTTCATTCATATATATACATTTTTTTCACCAGTAGATGTCCTTCTAAACACCACCCAGAAAAGAGAGAAAGAGAAAGTTTATGGCCAAGGAACCAAACATCTGAAGGAAAAATTTAAGGCCACTGTAGATTCTGGTCCTAGTTTTTTAATTTTCATGAAAACATTTGAGGTTTTATGGGCACAGAATTCCCTCTTCCTTCACTTTAAGGAGCACTCTAAAGATTCTATTCTGAGAAAAGTCAAAGGCAACAAATGTCGGGATGCCAGGACCATGAAGAAGTCACAAGGTCTTGTTCAGCCGGACTGTGGGAGTCATAGAGCTTCAGTTCAGAGAGAGGTGGAGGGGAAACATTAGGGAAGTCCTAAGTGTGGGGATCAGTTGGAGCTGGGGACGATCACCTCTGAGAAAAACGGGCTTCATGGCAAACACTGTGTTATTAGCCTACAAGAACTCACCCTCCTGCTTGGCAATGACCTCATCTCAAATAAACATAATCTGGCTTGCCAAGGACACATTTTTCCCTCAGCTGTGAAATCGGCCTGAAATACTGAACTATTTAAGATCAACTCATCGAAGAAGTCTGAGACTATTAGGAGCAGTGGGAAATACTAATCATGCCAAGGATTGACCTAAAAGAGAAATTCCTACCTGAAGTTATAGGTCCCAAGAAAATGATAACACTGATTGCTTAAAAGGGAACTAGATGATGGTGCAGATGTAGGAGTGGGAGTAAGAATGAGGTGGGAGACGGCTTTATGCTGCATACCCTTTTGTACTTTTAAAATTTTAAACCCAGTTCCTGAAACTGTCTGGAATGTAGTAGGTGTTTAATAGATAGTTTTGAAAGGATGAATGAATGAACTAAAAAATGATTTTGAATTCTGGCTCCACCGTGTTTATTGTGAGCTTTGATTCATAACCATTTTGAGCCCTAGTTTCCTCAAAAGTAGCATAGAGATTGTAATAATGACTCATAATATTGTTGAGATTAAATGAGTTATTGCATGTAAATCACTGGCATACAGTAAGTACTCAGTAAATGGTAGCTGCTGTGATGGTGATGACAACAATAATGATGATGATGTTAACTACAATAATGGTGGAAGCGAATTAGACTAAGGTACTCTCCTAATTTTCTTACGATAATAGAGCCTTGTCTAGTAAATATTGCTCAAAATAAATGCACATCATTGGGATTTGGGGAATATTTGGTTACAGAGAAGTTTTTCAATTAGAAATTTGCCTGAGGTCTATTATACTGTAGGGGATATAAAGATTAGTAGGACTGGGGTATTTCCATAGAGTAGTGGTTAGCACATCTACTTTACACACAGAAGATCCTGGCTTCGCGCCTCAGTGGAGCCACGGTCCATACTTTGGATGCGCCTGGCCCCCTGAGTGTGCCAAGCCCCCTGGGAGTGCCAGGGCCCCTGGTGTGCTGGCCTGGGGGCCCGGGTGTGCGCTGCGAGCGCCAACCGCGTGGGAGGAGACGCCCGGCCTTCAGAGATTCAGTTCTTAAGGGGAGACAGCAACATCCCTAGGTCAGGAGTGGAAGTAGTGTGGGAGAGAATAAAAAAAAAAAAAGATTAGTAGGACAAGGTCCCTGCCTGCCAGGAGCTTAGTATTGGTGAATGAATGTCTTGAAAACAAACTCCAGACTATCTGATTTCTGTTGTTATTATGGTGAATTTAATTAAATGTGGTACAAATTTAATTAAAATGAACACAGCACAAAGATTCAAAAGTTGAAAAATTCAGTGAAGCTAAAACCCAAGATCTGCAGTTATTATAGTTATTAGTACAGTAATGAGCCAAATATCACATGGACAACATTCTAATCTTCCCTTTTCTTTACTTAGCATCTGGGCTTTTTGTATACTATCTATATATAGTCATAGATATAGAGGGTAGAGTTACCCACTGGTTAAAAGCATGGACCTTTCTCTGGCACTTCCTAACTCTGTGATGGTGGCAAAGAGTTTACTCTTTCTCAGTCTCTGTTTTTTTGTTTTTTTGTTTTTTTGTTTTTTTTGCCTAAAAAAAAAAAGAGGAAAGCTCTGTTATAATTAGAGAAAATAAACCTATATTTGTGTATTACAACTACATATTGTTATCAAGAATGTTACATTTCCTGAGTACTGAAGTGATATTCCAAGAGGAAAGACTGCTAAATAGAGAGGATGTGAAAAATAATGTATAAAGAACTTAGTTTAGCCCATCTCTCTTCCCAAGTTGAAGGTCAATTTTTGGTTGAATGATTTTTTAACTTCATAAATTATGCAAAACACTATTGTGCATGGCTTACGTTGAAGAAAAGAAAACTGATATCAGGAGCAGAGCTATACATTTCGTAAATCTTTGCTGGTTTAGGAAAAATGGTTCTGATTTGTTCCTCCTTCTAGGATTACCATCTTGATTATTGATTATGTAGTAGGTGTTCAATAGATAGTTTTGAAAGGATGAATGAATGAACTAAAAAATGATTTTGAATTCTGGCTCCACCGTGTTTATTGTGAGCTTTGATTCATAACCATTTTGAGCCCTAGTTTCCTCAAAAGTAGCATAGAGATTCTCCTCCTTCTAGGATCACCATCTTGATTATTGGTGCCTCCAGCCACTTAGTCACTCAAGCTAAAAAGAGAAGAGCCGTGTTTGAGATGGGGAAAAGGGGAAGCAGAGGAAGAGGGATTGAATGGTTGAAGTGAGAGTAGCATAAATAAAAAGGAAAAAGATGAGTGTCCAGGTTGATTTGGGGGACCGAACTTAATGAAATAGGGTATATAGTGCCCAAGACTGGAGATGATGCCATTGGACTGATGATTCCTGAAGAACAGGAGTTGCGTCTTAGTCTTCTCGGTTTCACCAGCACCCAGCACTCTACGAGGCACGAAGCTGACCTCATCAAATGCAAGGCACTGAGTATCACCCCTTCACTGCCAGGAGAAAGAGCAAAGCCCCAAGTACACTGGCTTTCTGAGTTTCTAGAGAGAAAGAATCCATTATGTTTTTCTGAGTGATAAGGTAAATATCTGGGTGGAGCAGAATATTTAAGAATTCTTGGAGGGGATGAAGACAAGGAATATGGACAAAAGCAGCAATTATAATGGCAATTGCTGCAGTGGCAGCAGCTGTAAAAATAACAAGGGTCAGTATAAAAACCAGCATCTCCTAAACTTGGTTGGTTCATGGCACTGAGCCAGCATCTGTGAGACCTTTCTTTTTCAATGGTCTTCAGGAGCATTGATTGAGGAAGTAGAGCAGAAGGATGTCACACGTGTTTTAGCCTTGGAGTTGTTGAAAGACCAGCCACAAAATGTCTGCTTATTATTTTCCACCTTATACCTCCAAGCCTTGGAGCCTAAGAAATTTTTGCTACATTTTGATAGATAACTCCTTTTTATAGGTGAGGAAGCAGGCCCAGAGAACTTGTCCAAAGGCACAGGGCTAATATATAGCAAAGCAAGCACTTAATCTCAGATATGATTCTTAAATAAGAACTTTCTGTGGTTCCATAAAGCCTTGCTACTGGTTAAGTAATGGTAACATGTACAAGTACTATTTTTAAACAAGAAGCTCATACCTATCGCTTTATTCCCTGGGTATGCACCCATTTCTGGTCATCTGGAATACTAAAGTAAAAAATAGGAAGTCTTCACAAAAGGAAAGAAAAGAGCAAAGTTATTTTATTAAATTAAATTTAAATGTATTAAGCAAGTACAAATAGTCTTACAATCAGGCACACAAGTAAATACATGACTAGATACAGTATATGTGAAATTATTATCAGTTAACACCATGTTTAAAAGAAATTTGACTTCTACCTCCTTTTATTTGAAAAATTATAATAATTTCTCTGTTATTTCAAACTCCATATATTAAAAGTATTTTGATTATATTTTAATTATCCAATATTTATTTTAAATGTCATAGATACTCTTTCATATAAAGGATAAGACGCAGACCTATTTATAGAAAACTCAAGAAGAAATATTAGGTTTATCAATTCATGGTCTATTTCTGTTGATATAAAGAAAAATCAGACTGATTCCACCAGGGTAGCTTGATTGTGTTTTTACTCGGCTAATTTTGAGTTATCCAGCCAAGTGATCTATATAATTCATGGAGAAAGTAACAATAGCCATTTAAAATAATATTTTTAATAGAATATCTATGACGCAGTTTTACCAGTTTCTCTTCTTTCTCTTCCTCTTTGGGTGAGAATGTCCCAAGTGAGACCTGCTACCGACGCTCCTTCTGAACAAAAGCCACTTGCTTCATCAGATATTTCGCCAAGGCAGCAAGGTTTTAAATTTCCTTCAAAATGAGTGCTTTTGGATATGAAGGTTAGGTTAAACCTAACAGGATATCAATCAAATTTTTATTTTCTGAGTTTTTTTCAAGTATACATTGGGGAAGTAACTTTGAAGCCACGGAAGGTGACCATGAAGACCAGGAAAGCCTTTGACTGGCATATGGTAAGTAAACATATAACAAGTTCATTTAAGAAAAGTAAAATAGGAACAAAATAGGCACACATTTGAAAAGGAAATCTCTCTTGAAATCAATTTCACTATTTGTCTAACAAGTTAGAAAATGTTGATGGGAGACTACACAGGTTCTGCTCCCACCTAGGATGTAGAAAGCTAAAAGACCATTGTTTCCACTCTAACGAGAAAAAAACTAGATAAATTACACAATCCTAACTGTTCTTGAACCCATCAGAGAGCTAAGGTCTCAAGACAGCCAAGCAGTCCAAGGAAAGACAGGCCTTCCAAGGAGAGACGGATGAGTAGCTGGTCTGTGGCAGAACCTGAGAGGAGACGCTGGATACCATGTAAGCAGGTAAGAATTTAGCTAAAATTTTTAACAAATTTCCAAAGACTTAATGTGAGCTAGCTTGAAAGTACAGAATCCCTAGAAGCTGCAGAAACAATGGGAATTTGCATCCACTAACTAGCTCTTCTCCACAGACTTCCCCAGGTACTCAAGAAAGACTGGTGGCTGGGCAGGAGAACAGAGAAAGCCTCCATCTGTGATGCAGGCCTGGAAAAGGGAGCAGCCACCACTACAGGGAAAGCTTGAAGCTCTGCCTAGACTCTTCTTCCTTTCAGACAAAAGCCACAGGAAGAAGGGCAGCAAATTTTGCGGATCCCTGGGAACAGGTGAAGACCACTGTGACTGAGACAAAAGTAAAAAAAAAGAAAAAAAAAACAACCAAGCAAACAAAAAGAGCAGAAAAAAACAAACCAAAACAAAACCCCTTTACTCCTAGAGGAAGGGCAGGAAACTCTCCTGCAAAAAACCTGTCAAAGATGCCAACAGTTTGGCTCTCCTTGGCGGGGGACAGGATCACTGAGAAAGGCTGATTTCCCTAAGCCTCAAGACCGAGGGTCCGCTTAGTACTAAGGCTGAATCTGAAAAGCAGAAGGACCTCCAACCTGTACCAGTAGGCCAGCAAACCCCAAGAATCAAGGAACAGCAGCCTTCTGAGCTTGGCAGAAGAGCAAAAATGTGCTTAGAATCTCCTACCAGGCTCAGGCTCACAGGGAAGGCTGAAAGCTGAGGGTGGTGTACCAACATTGAGAAAAGCCCTCCAGCAACCTAACCCCACCTTAATTTAATTACTGAAAACCAAAGTTAAAGAGAAAATTTTGAAGGCAGCCTGAGAAAGAAGGCTTTTCTTAATGCAGAGGAACAAAGATAGGAGTTCCACACCAAGCTTTTTACTAAAAACTGTACGAACCTGAAGACAGTGAAGTGACATCTTTCCAGTGCTGAAAGAAAATAACTGTCAAACCAGAATTCTACACCCGATGAAATATCTTTCAAAAATGAAGACAAAATAAAGACTTTTTTAGAAAATAAAAGCTGACAGAATTCATTACCAGCAGTCCTGTACTATAAGAAATGTTAAAGGAAGTTCTTTAAGTAAGAGGAATATGAAATCAAAAAATCTGGTATCATACACAAAGAAATGGATCTACAAAATAAATGAAGATGTCCGGAAATGGTGAAAATGAAAATAAATAGAATGACATTCTCTTTTTTTTTTTTTGATCTCTCTAAAAGGTTATTTTCAAAAAGAGCAATGTATTGTGGTTTTATTGCAGATATAAAAATAAAATTAAAACAACCACAGAAAAGATGAGAGAGAATTAGAAATGTGCTGTTAAGTTCCTAAACTGTACATGAATTAGTATAATTTTTTTGAACTTAGACTATGAGTAATTCGAGATGTATGTTGTAAGTTTTTGAGCAACAGCTAAACCAAATTTTTTAATAGATATAAAATAGATTTACAAAATATTCAATTAATTCTAATGGAGGCAGAAAAAGAGGAAAAAGGAACAAAGAACAAAGGGAATAAATAAAAACAACTAGCAAGATTATATATTTAAATCCAATAATCATATTAAATGTAAGTGGTCTAAATAAACTAAAAGAGGTTGTCAAATTGGATAAAAAACAATTATAATCTATCTACAAAAAATCCACTTCAAATAGAAAAGACATACATAATTAAAAGCAAAAGAATGGGAAAAGATACACCATGCAAACAGTAATCAAAATAAAGCTGGAGTATCTACATTAATATAAAAGTTGACTTTAGAATAAGGAATATCACCAAGGATGAAGAGGGACATTACATACTGATGAAGGGGTCAATTCACCAAGAAGTATAACAATTCTAAATGTGTATGTACCTTACAACAGAGGTGCTAGAAATGGAAAGAAATGGAGAAATAAATTAACAGTTATAGAAACTCCACCTTTTTAATTAATAGAACAACTAGACAGAAAAATCAACAAGGTTATAGAAGACCTGGCAATCATCAACTGCACCTGACATTTAAAGAACAATCCATCTAATGATAGGAGAATTTATTCTTTTCAAATTTAATATTTTACTTATACTTTACTCATCCAAGTCTAGTATTAATTAGAACCTTTATTGCCTCCCAAAGGTCCTTAGAACCCTTTAACTCCTCTTACGTCTTTCACCTTATGTGCTATTCTTGAGGATTTTCATTTCATGAATATTTTAGATACTACAAAACATTTTCTAATAATGATTTATCTTTCTGATGCACTTCTATTTTCCATTGTTTTTTATTCTTTCCTGTACCTCTGAGATGCTATTTGGTATCTTTTTTATTTTTTTTAAACACCCTTTAGTATTTCCATTAGTGACAGTTTGGTGGCAACAAAATTAATTTTCATTTTTTAGACACATAAGATGCCTTTAATGCACCATCATTCCTGAAAAATATTTTCATTAGGTATAGAGTTATATGGTGGCAATTGGTTATTTTCTTTCAGCATTTTAACTTTTTCTATTTTTTAAATTTTCTATTTCACTTATTGCTAGTCTAATTTTTATTGTTTCCTTCCTTCTGTTTGTTTTGGGTTTACACTTCTTTTTCAACTTTCTTAAGGTAGAGATTGAACTAGTAAGATCTTTCTTCTTTTTTAATATAGGCATGTACCACTATAAATTTCCTTCTAAGCACTGCTTATCTGCATCCCATATGTTTTTGTATGTTGTATATTTTGTTTTCATTCACCTCAAAGTATTTTCTGACTTCCTTTGTGATTTCTTCTTTGATCCAGTGGCTATTTAGGAGTGTGTTGTCTAATTTCCACATACTTGTGAATTTCTCAAATGCCCTTTTGTTATTGATTTTTAATTTCATTCCATTGTGGTTGGATAACATACTTTGTTTGACTTCAATCCTTTTATATTGATTGAGACTTGTTTTATAGCCTAATATACCATCTGTTCTGGAGAGTGTCCCATGCGCACTTAAGAATAATGTATATTCTGCTGTTGTCGTGTGGTGTTTTATAAATGTCTATTAGGTCTAATGGGCTTATAGTATTATTTAAGTATTCTATTTTCTTGTTGATCTACCTAATTGTTCTATTATTAAAAGTGGGGTATTGAAGTCTCCGACTGTTATTGTTTAATTATATCACCCTTCCATTCTGCCCATTATTGCTTCATATTTTGGAGCCCTGTTGTTAATTGCATATAATATTTATAATTGCTATGTCTTGCTGATGGATCGATACTTTTTTAAAAAAAAATTTATACCACTTTATACCTAGTAAAAGTTTTTTGTGTTAAATCTATTTTGTGTGATATTACAATTACTACTCCAGGTCTCTTCCAGTTTCTGTATGCATGGTATATCTTTTAACACCCTTTTAGACAACATCTGGTTGGATCATTTTTAAAAATCTATGCTGCCAGTCTCTGCCTGTTGGCTGGAGTATTTAATCCATTTAAAGTAATTACCGATAAGAAAGAAGTTATGTCTGCCATTTTGAATGTTTTCTATATGTCTTAAGTATTTCCCCCTCTGTTCCTTCAGCACTTAACTCTTGCCCTCTTTTATATTAGATATTTTCTAGTGTACCATTATAACTCCCTTGTCATATGTGTGTGTGTGTGTGTGTGTATACATATACATTTGTTATATATATTGGTCATTTTTTAGTTGTCTTGGAGATTATAATTAACATCTTAATTTAATAATCTAGTTCAGATTATTACCAACTTAAAATATCAACAATTACAAAATAATTGCTCTTGTAGCTCTAGTCCCTTCCCTTTGTTTTTCGACAAAATTGGAAACTTCAGCAATTATTTCTTCAACTAGTCTGTCTCTTTCCTCATCTCTAGGACTCCCATTACCTTTATGTTGGTACACTTAATGATACCCTACAGGTCTCTGGTACTGTTCATTTTACTTCACTCTTATTTCTTTCTGTTCCTTGGACTGAATAATCTCAACTGATCTATTTTCAAGTTTGCTGAGTTTTCTTCTGCTCGCTCAAATCTCTCTTGAGCCCACCTAGTGAAGTTTTCAATTATTGCACTTTTCAACTCCAGTATTTCTATTTTTTTAAATCATTTCTGTCTTTATTGATATTCTCTACTGAGACATTGCTTTTGTACTTTTCTTGATTTTTTAAAATATGGCTTTCTTTAGCTCTTTTAACATATATTAATTAAGTGGTTTTAAGTCTTTGTCTAGTAAGTCTACATCTGTGTTTCCTCAAGGATAGTTTCTATAGATTGCTATTGTCCTGTGTAAGAGCCAAACTTTATTTTTTTACGTTTCATTTTTATAGAAAATTGGACATTTTAAATAATATCAGGTGGCAACTTTGGAAATTGAATTCTCTCCCTTCTGCAGGAGTTGTCATTGATGTTGTTTGTTTAGTAACTTTTTTGAACTAATATGTAAAGTCTGTATTCTTTGCCATGTATGACCATTGAAGTCTCTGCTCAGTTAGCTTAGTGGACAGTGGATGATTAAATAAATTTATTTAAATACCCGAATCCAGTAAGTCTCAGCCATTGCCAAGAGGCTGTGTCTGTGTATGTTGGGGGGATTGTGGGGTGTACCTTCAACATCTGGGAAGGCAATTAAAAATGCTGCCTTAGCTTTCACCATGTTTTTGCAGTGCTTCAAAGTCATCCAGATGTGAGAACTTAGGACCTTCTGAGGTGTTTCCTGAGCATGCGCACAGACTTGAGCCTACATATAGGCTTATGCATGTGCATTCCTTCTAGATTCCCATGAATAGCTTAGCAGTTTTCAAAGATATAGATATGTAATAGATATGTAATTCCCCAGCTTTTTTTTTTTTTTTTTTTGGTCAGCTTTATTGTTTACCCCAATCGTTATCACTGACTCAGGCAGCTGCAGTGTTAACCACTGCTGATGATTATTTTCAGCAAATGCCCCCCGGAAAAAGGCTATTCACACTGAACAAGGTCTGAGTCAGGTCAAAGAAAGATAAGTGCTGTGAATGGGGGTTTCCAGGGAATTGCCAGACAGGTCAAATAACAACAGTTCTTTGAGAATGGTGTTTCTGGGGAGATCCAAACCTATTCTCCCCCAACCCCTGGCTGCTAGGCTACTGGTTCTATGATTTGGGACTGTTGGTCTTCAAGGCTAATGAGGAGCTGGGGAGAGTGATGAGAGTAGGTCAAATTAAAGCAAACACCACAACAGTAATCATTCTTACTAAATGCAGCCTTTAAAATAATATAATAATAATAATAATAATAAATGCTCTTTGGATTGTTGCGAGCCTTTGGTTAATTACTAGCATTCTGAAAAATTTTACTTTAACAAGTTTTCTGAGTGTTCTCATTGCTTTTATGGAGGAATATGTTTTCAGAGGACCTTACTCCACCATTACCACTGACTTTGCCTCATTCAGTACTTTGAAGCTATCATTCCACTGTCTGCTTACATTCTTTTTATTGCAAAGATAGCTGTCAGCTTGTTATTCCTATGAAAGTAATATATTTTTTTCCACTGGTTTTTAGCAGTTTGACAATGCTGTACCTAGGTGTGACTTTTTATTTATTCTGCTTGGGATTTACAGGGCTTTAGTCCCATTCTCTCTTCACCATATCCTGTTTCTTTTTCTCATCCTTTTGTCTTGCCATACTTTCATGTAACTATTTTCTTCTAACCTACAGCACTTGGTATTACTAGACGGTCTCCCATCCAACTACTAACCAGGCCTGACCCTGCTTAGCTTCCGAGATCAGACGGGATCGGGCACGTTCAGGATGGCATGGCCGTAGACAGGTTTTTTTTAAAGGAATGTAAACATCTGTTTTATGAGCACACAATGTATAAATTTTCAAATTATAGCATTCAATGATTCAATTATTTCTTCTTTGATAGGAATCCCTTTGTATTGCGAACAGCTCTTGTTTTAGGACAAAATCACATAATATAAAACAAATCATTTCAAGACTTATTTTGATCATTTTGCAATGTATAAATATTGAATCATATGTTTTACACTTGGAACTTATATGCCAATTATACCTCAATTTAAAATTTTTTAAATGAATTATTTTAAAGTACACAATTCAGTGGTATTTAGTATATTCACAATGTCATAAAACCACATCTATCTAGTTCCAACATCCCAAAAGAAAATCTCATACTCATTAACCAGTCACTCCCCTTCCTAGCTGTGGCAAACACCTGTTTCTATGCATGTACCTATTCTGGACATTTCATATACATGGAATCATACAATGTGTGAAATTTTGCATCTGACTCGCGTAGCATTATATTTTCAAGGTTCATTCACATGGTGGCATGTATCAGTACTTCATTTTTATGGCTGAGTAATAATTCATTGTATGTGTACACCACATTTGTTTATCCAGTCATACGTCGATGAACACTTAGGTTGCTTATACCATTTGACTATTGTGATAGTGCTTCTATGAACATTGTGTACAAATTTTTATGTGAATGAATTATTTTCTTTTCACTTAGGTAGATACTTAGGAGTGGAATTGCTGGGTCATATGGCAATTCTATGTTTAACATTTTTAGGAACCACCAAACTTTTCCACAGTGGCTGAACCATTTTACAGTCCTATCAACAATGTATGAGAGTTCATGTTGAACAACTTCACACTCATTTCCCTTTTCACTATAGCTATCCTTGTGGATGTGAAGTGGTACCTCATTGTGGTTTTGATTTGCATTTTCCTAAAGACTATATTCTTGCTGCTTTCAAGATTCTGTCTTCAGCTTTTGAGCATTTGTTATATTGTGTTGTTGGATTCCTTGAGCTTCTTGGATGTATAGATTAAAGCGTTTTAGCAAATCTCAGTTTTCAGCCATCATTTCTTCAAGTATTCTTTGTGCCCCTTTCTTTCTCTGCTCTACTTCTGGCACTCCCTTTTTGCAAATGTTGGTATGCTTCACTGTTCTCCACAGGTCTCTTAAGCTTTATTTTTCTTCCATCCTTTTTTCTTTCTGCTTCTCTAATTAGACCTAGTTGACGTAGCTTTAAGTTACTGGCTCTGTTGTCTACTCACATCTGCTATTGGAACCCTCTAATGCTTTTTTAAAATTTCGGTTATCATACCATTCAGCTCCAAATTTGTATGGTTCTTTTTAATAGTTTCTTTACTGACATTCTCTATTTCTTAAAACATTGTTCTGGATTACTTTATCTCTACGAGCATATATGAGACAGATGATTTAAAGTCCAATGTTTGTGCTTCTTCAGGTATGGTTTTTTTTTTATCTCCATGACTGGGCCATATTTTGTTTGCAAGCTTCTTGGTTTTTGGTTGAAAATGAAACATTTTGAATATTATAATGTAGTAACTCTAGAATCAGAGTTTTCATGCTTCAGGTTTTTTGTTGCTTGCTGTGAGCCGTAGCTGTTTGTTTAGTGACCTTTTTCGTATGTGAAGTCTCAATTCTTTGGCTTTACATACTCTCTGAAGTCTCTTCTTTTTGCTTATGTTTTCAGCTAGTTTATCAATAGATTTCCTTGAATGCTAGTGGCTAAAAATATAACCAAAACAAGAATCATAAAAAAAGAAAAAGATCTCCCCAGTCTTTGCATATTGGCTGTCTTGGAGCACAGTTCAGTGCTTAGCTCTAGGTCATTTTAAATCTGCCTCAGCCTTCACAGGTCTCTTCTAAGCATGCATCCTGGCCTGAAATGGAGTGGCTTTATCAATTCCCCAGAAGACCCTGTTTTTAAAGGCCTAATTTCCCTTAAGATATCCTCTCCCATTTTTTTCCTCTCCAGCTTTAGACACTCCTTTGTTTACCTCAACTGTAATCTTTTGCCCCTGGTTGCAGCAGGTTGTTTTTTGCCTTACAATATTGTCAAGAAAAGCCTGCCACTTTTCCAGCCTGGGTTCTGAGATGAAACAAAGGCAAATGCCTTGCTTTTCCTTCAAGTTGCCCCAGATGGGTTAGAACCAACCATTTTTTGAAATTAAGATCTCTGCTTCTTTGGGACCAAGGACAAAAGTCCCACTCTAAAAAGATGGGCTGTTTTCTATCTTTAAGACCACCACAGAGCTGGAAAAGGGAATGCAGCAAGAACAAATAAAACACCAAAAAGGCTTAGTTTTTAGGTTGCCTTTCCTGGATTCAGCATCTGACTGTTTTCTAGAATTCTAACAAAGTTGTTCCTGAATGTTTTTACCTCTGAGGAGGAATGGGTCCTTGAAGCTACCTAGTTTTTGCCAATGGTTATTGTTTGAGTGCTTTAACATTGTATATGAAAATTTATAGAGCTAATTTAAGGCTCTGGATGTTAAAATTCTCCAG